AGCCATTATAGAAATCTAAAGTAACACTTCATTAGAATGTTAACATACCTTAAACTTAGTCTTACAAACAGGTTTAAAACTAACATGAAATATTTAAGTACTTGCAATTAGTCGTCTCCGATCTTTTCTTTTCTTTTTCCTGTAACAACAGTCAGTAAGGAAATACTGATGAGCTATGAGGCTCAGTAAGCTATGCAAGTTGATTAACAATTAAAATAGAATAATTATAATTTATAAAATCATTAAAACCATCTTTGACAAAACTTACCTTACAAAATATCATAATGTCATCTTTAACATTAGTCTTAACTTCTTTCAAAGTTACATTGAATATCAAATCCATCCAGTAAAAGACTTGGCTATACTTTCATAATCATATTCAATGGAGCCCAGGTAAATCTAGCATTATCGCCATTGAATTACATCGAGGTCCCTTTTGACTCTTTAGGGGTCCCTTTTTCCCCTCCTGCTATGCAGGTATTCATTTCTTTTGGGGTCCCTTTAGCCCAATCTGCAATTCAGGTATCTTATGTATCTTACACTAATTGCATGCTAGAATACTTTTGTCAGTATGAACTTTAATGAATTCCTTTCAATTTAATATCAATTATGAAAATCTTAGACTCATCATTATACATCTTATTTTAAACCTCACTAATACATGTATGCAAGTGATCCATCATCAATAACAACTTTGTAATATACTCATTATCATTATTGGAATATTCATAAATCATTATACATGTATGTAGAATCAATAATGATGGCATTGGTGAACTAAACTTACACCAACTTACCTTCTTGATGAGTAATCTCTTTCAAACATACACCACGCAACCTTCTCCTTTGATATACTAACCAAAAACTTTCTTTGTGCATATAGTCAGATAACTTATACATACATTTTGGCAACACTTGATACTTCTAATAGATGCATCCAACATCTTTTCAGCAATTCCTTACCCGATATCCTGCTGGCTTGCGTGAAAATTCAAACAGAGAAGGAATTTGGTTGGTTCTCGTGGAACATATAAGATACGGACAATAAAGCCCACACAAAACTGCTATTCTATAACTTCTTTTCAGCCAAGTGATGCATCTTTTCAATTAATTATTAGCTGATAAATCAGATATCCACATTATATTATTAAAAGCCTATAAGTGATACTAACAAACTTTAATAAGTATCAATTCTAAAATATAAATCATTTAACTTTTATCATTTTACTAATTAATTCTAATTTAACTGTTAATATTAATTTAACAGTAAATTAACAATAGTAAAATTTAGAATGAAATTTTGGGTTTTACATACTCAACATAAACAAAACTAATCCAAGCAAAATCAAGAATAGTATGAAATTACCTCATAGTTAGCCTTAAATAGACTTCCCTAGTTCCCGCCCAAATCAGCCCCCTTTCCTTAAATAATTCCCCTTTAAATTTGAATTCAAATTAGATATTTTTTCCTAATTAATTCCCTCCCAATTATAATTAAAAATTTCCCCTTGATTCCTCCTTACACAATGAATTCTAACTCCTCTAAGTTTTCCCTAAATAATTCCCTCTCAGATTTAAATTCAAATTAGAATTATTTCCCTAATTAATTCCCTCCCAATTATAATTAAAACTTATTCTAAACAACCCCCTTCTCTCTTCTTGTCCGCCGCCCACCCAAATGGGGCCCGCCGGCTCAGCTGCTGGTCCATCAATACTCGCCTCCGAAAGTGTCACCTTGTCCTTAAGGTGGAACGAAGAAAACTGTTGCTGAAGTATTGGACTAATAGCAGTAGATTATAAAATAGACTAACACTGGGTCGAATGATCTCTGCCTCGTGCATCTTCCTGGTCAATCTCTTCGTTTTGGATTTGGGGATGACGGTACAGACGAACACTGATAGGTGAAACTCCTTCCTTCAAGATGATAGCATGCTCGAGTTCCCACGGAGGAGGCAACCCCTGAACTGGCCGGAACACCCCTCGATACTGCTGTAGGGATGGTTGAACCATGCCTGGTGCTTTCATCTTCTCTCCATCCTTTTCTCCTTCCAAATCCTGCAGCTCCATCAAAAATCTCACTCCTTCACCCTTTCCCCTCCATGGAAGTGGCTCTGCAGGTGGCATCTCCTCTTCTTTCCCCAACATTTCACGTATTGATCTTCCCCTCTTCTTATCAAATAAGGGTTTCCTCCACTTCCTTGGCTGGCGGCAGCTCTCCCCACCTCCGACGATGCCTTTTTGGTTTGGACCTCGAGCATCTTCTTCATGATCTCCTCAATGATGCCAAACTTCCTATCGATTTTCTCATGGACGGCTGAAATTTGACTTTGGTAATATGAAATTTTAGATTTCAATTTTCTAATCTCCCATTCCAACACTTTTACATTTTTTTTCCTACCATAGGTATCCAGATCTATGCTCTGATACCAATTTAATAGGATGTGGATGTAATTTCAGCAAAATCAAAGAACAACACATGAAATTTAGGAAGATCACACATTTACTCCTTTTTTTATTGAAAGAACTAAGAAGAAAATTACATGATACATTTGGATCTTCAATTGGAGCGGAAGATTCAACTCTCCCAAATCCCTAGCTGTTGGCTAGAGCCCACTCAACCTAAGCAAAATTAATTCCAACAAAATCAAATATAATCTGAAATCACCTCATAGTTAGCCTTAAATAGCCCCCCCTAATTTCCTCCCAAATCAGCCATCTTTCCTTAACTAATTCCCTCTTAGATTTGAATTCAAATTAGTTACCTTTCCCCGATTAATTCCCTCATAATTTTAATTAACAATTTCCTAAAAACTTCTCTCTTGATTTATCCTTATATAATGAATATTAACTCCTCAAATCAGTCATCTTTCCTAAATAATTCCCTCTCAATTATTTCCCTAATTAATTCCCTCCTAATTGTAATTAAAACTTTCATAAATGATTCCTTCTCTTCTTGCGCACGGCCTACCCTAGTGGGGCCCGCTGGCTTAGGCGCCGGTCCATCAGAAGAACACCTAATTTTTATGTAGAAGTGCCTATCAAAAGTTAATATGATGGCAAAAAGAGACCTAGTATCACAAGCTTCCATCAAAATTCAATGTGTGGCGAAAACAAACCTACATCCATAGGCAAGAAGACAAGGAAAGAAAATATGATCCACTACATAGAAGCTAAAAAATATACAAATAAAAATGATATAAGAAAACACTCTTTCCTAAATTCAAGTACACCAATCTCACCAGAAAAGAAAAAAACTTCAAATCTCCTCAGATAAGCAAAATAGAAAATAGCACTAGAGACATAGTAATCAAAGAAGAATTAATTATTGCCAAAAATTATCGACTTCGAAGTTTGTCAAAAGAGTACCTTCCCATGTGTCTATTAAAGCTTCATAGTCGCTAGAAAGCTTTTTTTTTTCTTCCTTTTTTATCATTATTTTCTCTCTTTTCCTTTATTCTTTAAAATCATTCTGTTTCTTCTTTAGTAATCCATTAGATTCCCAGCTTCACATGAGCTGCCAGCCACTTTTTATTTTCCCTCAGGCAAATGGAGTGCATGCCCCTAAAACAAAAGCTCATTTATTCTCATCCTAATTAACTCATATATTTATAGGAACTTTAAGGAGGTTATTTCAAATTCAGATAATGTTCCAATTTGTCTTGAATCTATATAAAATAATAATTTTCAACAAACTTTTTTGTTATTTATCAATTACAAGTTGACGATATAGGAATGGTGAGGGACTTAACCCTAACTTGCTAGACAAACCCCATGACTTTCGGCCAGATAAAATAACTTTGTTTTCCAGAAAGCAATTTCTATAAAAACCTATATAAGCATAAAATTGTAATCATACAATATATGAAACAAAATTTTATGAAAACATTGAAAATACTAACATTTCATCACCAAAAGAACTGAATCATCAACCTTAACTTGCTAGGTAAACAACATGTCTTAAGGCCAAATGAAAGAACTTTGTATTCCAAAGAAAATAATTTATATGTAAAATTATAAACAAAAGTTTATTCATGAAAATAGTAGCTCTCGATCACCATGTGAACTGAAACATCAACCCAACAGAAAGAAGTGATCAATTACATCTGTAAAATTAAATAAAAAAAATGCAAATTAATAACAAAATAAATGAAGCTTCATAAGAAAATTCTAAGCTTTATGTGGTTCAGTCAGGATAAGTCTCTGTCCATGAATGATGATGGATAGTCTAATCTACTATGCTAAATCACACAGGTTTATAAATAAAAGGGGCATAAGAAAATAAGAAAATACTCATTTTTAAACCCAAACACACTCAATCTCTCAAGAACAGAGAAGCCTTGAATTTCTCTAGAAAATAACACTAACAAGATATCAACAAAAGATATTTCACCAATAACATAAATTATCCACTTAAAATTTCCCCAAAAAGGATAACTTCCATTATATTTAATGAATTTCTGTAGATTTTTTGGCACAATTATTCTTTCTCACCGTCAAAATAACACTCTAGTCACTAAAAAAGTTTTTTTTCCTTCCTGCTCTTTTTTTCTATTTTCTTAAACCGGTCTGTTTCTTCTCTATTAATTTATCAAACTCCCAGACTCACATAATGCCGCTGACCACTTCTTTTTTTCTCATTACGCTATGGCAATACGTGTCTAAAAAGAAAAAGTCCTTCAGTTCTCATTTTAGTTACTCATAGATTTATAGGAACTATATGGAAGTAATTTCAAGTTCAAACCAAATTCAAATGGAGTTATCCAAAATAGAAAAATTTCTAGCAAACTTTTCAACCGAGTTTTATCTCCAATAACAAAATATAGTTTGTTTTTATTGAAAAACCACCTATTTGTATTTAGTGCTTAACCAATCATTAAGTCAATGTCCTATCAGATTTGTCGTAATAATTAACAATAACATTTCAAAATTATTGTCAGCAGAATGATTTGTAAATATTTTCTTTTTTTCTCTTTTTATATTTCAACTTGTTAACAATGCAGTGCAATAAAAGGCGGATTAAAGTGGCCGTTGTTGGCGTCCCTAAAACAATTGACAATGATATCCTATATATGGACAGGACCTTTGGTTTTGACACTGCTGTGGAAGAGGCACAAAGAGCAATAAATTCTGCATACATTGAGGTTTGATGGCTTGAGAATATTCTATTTATGTAAATTCTTCTAATACTTGGTAGTGTGAAATTTTAATTGGTACTAGGCTATGTTATAAAATGATTCACTGCTAATATATATTTTCTAGTATTGCATTGAATTTCATCTCAATTTTATTACAGGCTCATAGTGCCTATCATGGCATTGGTATTGTGAAACTGATGGGAAGGAGCAGCGGATTTATAGCTATGCATGCATCATTAGCTAGTGGACAAGTCGATGTTTGTTTGATCCCAGAGGTAAACATTATGGAATATGCTTTTGTGCCTGAAAAGAGTTTAATGTATGTTTTTTACTTTAATATATAATTATTTAATTGCTTATACATGTACTTGAAGGATCCATTTACTCTGCATGGTCCAAATGGTGTTCTGAGACATCTAAGGTATCTTGTTCAGACTAAGGGGTCAGCTGTGGTATGCGTTGCTGAGGGTGCCGGCCAAGTGAGTGACAGTTTCTTTTATTTTTTAGAGCAGCTTGACAAAATTTACACGGTTGCAAATTCATCTTCCATTTCATATAACCGTCTCTAACCCTAATTATTGAATTCTGATACTTCACGTTGTAAGTATCTAAGATTGTCAAATAACCTTTAAAATGTTTGGATGTATACCAAGAGTTTGTAGGAAATATTCATAATACCTAGGCTAAATATCAACGAAATTTTTCTTTAAAATTTTATGTCAAGATTAAGGCTTCATTTGGGATGACTTTATTGTTGCTTCTTAAAGTAGCTTTTTAGTATGAAAATTTTGATTTTTGTTTTAAAAAGCTGCTTTAAGAAGCAACAAAAAAAATCGTCGCAAACGAAGCCTAAGTTCCCCCTCACCTTTTTTTTTATTTTAATAGCATATTTATAGAGCCCTTCCTATCATTTGATGCTGCAAATGTTTATTTAAAATCGTCTAGTTTATAAAAATCTACGGGATAATATTACAGGATTTGCTTGAGAAGGCAACTGGAACAGATGCATCTGGGAATAAAATTCTCAGCGACATTGGTATACATGTTGTTCAAGAGGTTAGATACTTGATATCTATTCTTAGTGTATTATTATTATTTTTTGCTTCATGCAAGTTATGTTCTGTAATCAATGTTTAGTTGCTGTATGATGCTTGATGAAAAACCTATCAATCGTCTAATTTATTAATGCCATAATATGACAAAGCAAGCTTTACTATTCGAAGAGAGCTACACAATTATTTTTCTATGATTGTGCAGGATTGTCAACTCTCACAAAAAAGAGATCCGCAAACATCTTAGCATTGCAATCATTCTCTCGAAACACAAGCTTGAAATTTACAAAATATAGAAAAAAACTTGGTAACATTATCAAGATCTCTTGTATGTTTACTTGTGGCCAACAAATTATAATTTAAATTTAGAATCAAGAGTATAAAGTCAAAGGTTAGATCATTTGAAATGATGATATAGCTTACATTAATTACTTGTAAGAGTTGCCTTTCAGTAATTCAGATGGTAAGATTGTCAGGACCTAGGCTGCATTCATGATATTTATTGGGATTTATTTAAACGTACTTATAGATTCTACCATGATAAGCTATGAGAGGATTAATGATGAGTTTAAAATAAGAAATAGAAATGCAATTAGTAGAAGCTATACTTGATTTAATAAGAACCTATAATCTCGCAATGAAAAACACACTTAAAAAAAGAGAGCACTTAATTACATAAAAAAATGGAGCCATCAAATCACAAATAGACTTGTTTTTACTTATAAAGAAAAAATGGGAAAGATTGTAACGTAATTCACAAAGAGAATTTGGTTACGCAATATGGACTAATTGTTATGGATGTTTATCTTAGGAATGTAAAGAAAATAATTAGAAGAATTTAATTGGTCCTAAATAACGTAGTGGAGTTAAAAAGATGATAAATTGTTATAGAAGTAGGTTGTTAAGCGAGTCAATTTGGATTTTTTTTTGTTTAGCCAAATCTTATGTAGGATATGTTGAGTAGTTTTATTAAAAAGATTGTTGTAGAAAGTTTAGGATGACCTAGAATTAGATGTATGGAAGGAAGGAAACTTAGATTGAAAAGGTAAAAAATGTTGTTAAGAAATGTACTTTTATTGAATAATATAAATTAAGAACTACTGAGACTAACAATAATCATAAGAAAAATAAAAATCATGAAATTAGTGGCAAAGAAAGTAAAAAACTATAAATTTGAAAGATTTATATAATTTCCTTCGTTTTATGGAATGAGAAAAAGAGATATATAGAATAATTAAAGCTATTTATACAAGATATTGATGCTCATATCTAGTTATATGTTTTAGAAGCGAAGTTAATATAATCTTCATAAAGATGAAAATATTACTTTGAGAAATCATTAAATGATAATGTTAAGATGCAAATTATTTGAAAGAGCATAATAAGCAAAATAAAGAGTTTTAGTATAGATTGATAAAAAAATGGCATGAGGTTAGCTTTGAAAATGTAAAAAGATAAAACTTTTGGTTCATATGAGATAGCTATTGAGATTTAAACTTTTATTTGGACACTGTAGCAGTATAGTTAATAATTTTTTTGATTAAATTTTGAAAACTAAAAGTTTGTTAAATGATTGGGGAAGCTCATTTTGGCACCAATTTTTAAGTATATAGGAGATTTTTAAGATTTTGCTAATGATATAGTAATCAAAATTATGAGCTATACATTAGATTTATAGGTTTGAATATATAATTAGAAAATTTTTATTTGTTTGTAGAGTAAATTTGGTTTAATGCTTGTGAAATCTATCATCAAATGATTTGTGTGTTAAGACATCTGAAGGAAAAGCATAGAGAGTAGGTAAGTTTTTTTATGTAATTATTTTTATTGATTTTAAAAAGTCATATGATCATGTTCCATGAGAAATGAAATGGTACACATTCAAGAAGGAAGGTTTGCTCAAAGATACAATAAAGCTATTAAGATATGTGCTGTAGAGCACTGAGTTGTACAAGTAGTTGCGGAGTAACCAGAAGTTTTCAGTTACAAGAGAATTACATCAAGAATCAACTTTTAATACATATCTTTTTGCATTTTTTATAAAGATGCTTACAAAGGGATATTCAAACTCAGATCTTCGATGAATGATTTTTGCAAATGTTAAGATTTTTTACTAGAACTAATTTGAAAGTTAAAAAAAAAGTGGAGAAATTGTTTGGATGGTAGCTCTATTAGAATTAACAAAACAAAGATAGAATATATCATACAATTTTAGAGGGTGTGATACCAATCATTATTTATCAGTGTTATTAGAAGATAAAGTTTTATATTACCCATCGAGGCTTAGGGTGGTTGGTGGGCGAGCACAATTGGGAACCCCCCATCCTGGATTTGAATCCCCCATACTACGGCCTCACCTCTTCAGTGGGGCAAAGCAAGTGTGGGCCCAATGCTGGTGGGTGGCCTCGCTATATTCCATCGAGGGATTAGTTACGCCGTCAAATGCTCCCTTTGGAGTGGCAGCCGGTAGATACCCTCGTTCAAAAAAAAAAAGTTTTATATTGATGTGCTAGATTTATGTTGTTATTATACATAAGAATTGGGAATTAGGATGAAGATGTTGTTGAGGATATAACTTTTCCAGTTTTAAGTTTTATACATAGGAATTGAGGTATAGATGAGGATATAACTTTTAGATTTGAGATTGAATGGTTAAAATAGAGAAGCGCCTGTATTATGGGATCAAACAATACCATAGAGAGTTAAATATAAATTTTATAAAATTGCAATTACATCGGTAACATTGCACTGTTTGCTAGAAAAATATAAAATTGACATTCAATAAAGTTAATTGTGTGAGAAATGAGAATTTATGATGCATATGTGAAATATTTGAGGAGAAATTGATAAATAATTGTATTAGAAGAATAATTTGAGTAATATATTTTGAAAATAAGATAACTGAAAATATTTAGAATTATTTAGTTGGTTTAAGCATGTACAATAAAGGGTTCAAATATGTAGGAGGGAGAGACTCGCACGACCTAGAATGTTGTTAAAATTTTAAAACCGCACTTTAAAGGATTCATTTTTGAGTAATATAAGAGTCAGTTTTCAATTAAGCATGAGGGATTTGGTTATGATGATGGTTCTTAAGCAAAGAAGAATCCATTCGTACTTCATGGCAAATATGAAGTGCCTATTTTGAACTTATCCAAAGATAAAAGAGCTCTTAGCTTACCAATTCATTGGCAAACAAACTACATTTTTCTATTAGAGAAAAGTGAAATTCTCTCTATGAATTTAATCACGGTAAAAATGGATGGTATTCATCCTATACGTCCCGTATACACAGGCACTGAGATACCTATGGATATAGTTTCCATTTTTTGTTGTTCTCATCTAACGGTAATACTTACAATATGTACCAGACAAGAAAATACTTCAAAGAAATTGGTGTTCCGGCCGACGTGAAGTACATCGATCCCACATATATGATCCGTGCCGTCCGGGCTAATGCTGCTGATGGCATCCTATGCACTGTACTTGGGCAAAATGCTGTAAGTATCCTTTCCCGGATTAATTATTCTGTGCGGACACCGGACACCCTCTGGAGGCAAATCAGAACGCACAACGTCACCTCCTTGCTGTGTACCACGGATGTGTACTGAGTGACGTGACGTGCTCTGATTCACCTCCCGGTATCCACACAGAATAATTTCTCCCTTCCCAGAAGCATCAAAAACCTTGTTAAACTTTGAAATTCAAGAACATTATCAATTGAAAATGCAGGTTCATGGTGCATTTGCTGGGTTTAGTGGCATTACAGTTGGTGTAGTCAATACACATTATGCTTATTTTCCAATACCTGAAGTAATTTCGCATCCGAGACTTGTCGACACCAACAGTCGAATGTGGCATCGATGCCTAACATCTACAGGGCAGCCAGATTTCATATAATCGATTATTTGTCCAAACATTCTTTGGTGATATGATTCTATAGCAGATGCACAAGGAGTTATACAACTTGCTCTCCATAAAAGGAATAAATCAAGGAAACCAGCCAGCCCCCCTCATATCAATAGAGATTATTGTGTGCGGACACCGGACAGAAAAGAACCGTTTGGATTTATCTCTGTCTACAGTAAAAACATAGTTATTGTAGCAGCTGCGCTTTGACTGCGCTTTTACTGTGGACAGAAAAATCTGAACGGTTCTCTCTGCCCGGTGTCCATGCACAATAAAAAGTCTCATATCAATCCCGTGTTTTTGTTCCCTTGCTGATTTAATAATTAGTTTCTCTTATTTTATGCATAATAATGGGGCAAAGGACTGCTGTATAAATTAGTTTTGGAGAGTTAAGGTTCTTTTAGCTTTCCCCCAACATGAAGATTTATGTAAATAAATTTGGTCTATTAGGTTATTTTACTTGGCTTAGGTTTTGTTTGAGACAACTTTTTTATTGATTTTTAAAGCAATATTTTTAGTACAAAAATTTATTGTTCAAAAAAATTTTGTATTAAATATTTGTTTTAAAAAACATTAAGAAAATTATCCCAAATAAAAACTAAGTCCTCAAGTTGTACCTCACTAGAGCTAAAAAATTGAAACAGCATTCGCATTTCTCAGGAAGAGTCCTGCTTATATAGAAGTATTAAAACCTACATGCCTCAGTAAACCCTTACTGATGTCGCAAATTGCTCTTTTTCCTAAAATTCTTTCTTCCAATCTCCAGCCAAAGTCACCTTTGGAGCAGATTTGTAATCATAGAAAAATTATTTTGTGCGGACACCAGACAGCATCCGGAGATCGATCAAAACGTGTCATGTTAGTTTTTGGCTCGGTACTGGTGCTCGTACCACCGTGTATCGGATGATGTGCTGCATTTTGCTTGGTCTCTGAATCATCCGGTGTTCTCACAGAATAATTGCTTGTAATGATATGCTGCTGTCGAAATAGATATTTAAATTCTCATTTCTTTTTATTCCGTTATTTATTAATATGGTTAAAAGCTATTTAAAAGCTGTTGTAGTGGAAATTGATGAGCTTAACAAGTCGAGCCGAGTTGACTCATTTTTTATTAGAGCTCGAGCTTTATTAATTAATCAAATTTGAGCTCGAGTTTTAGTTTAATTCTATGATTTTAAATTGGCTCACAAACTTATTTGTTATAAATGAGAAAAATATTTTTATTCAATAATTGTTATAATAATATGCTAAAAAGAATAAAATAAAAAATGAGACATAATAAATAATTATTTGCTATAATGAACATCAATATACATTTTAAAATTTTTCGTAATATATATTAAATTTATTGAAATTTCATATTTTTAGTAAATCACTTAATGAATGGTAACAACTGAAAATTTTCAAATAAAATAAGTATTCTTTAAGCGAGAACAATGATTAATCAAAATAAAAAAAAATTATGATGAGAAACTCTTTTTCAAAGCACATAATTTTTGCAAAAAAAATTAAATGAGTGGGGTCAAATTATATTTCTTACCCGCCGTTGCTTAGTTGGTTGGTAGGCGAGTATGGTTAGAACCCCCCAATCCGTGCTTGAATCCCCTCGAGCAGCAGCGCCTCTTAAGTTGTGCTCAATCAAGTGTAGGTTAGCAGGTTTCTGGAGTTGATGTCTCTTCTAGGTCAATCGAGGATTAGTCATGTGGCCAAGCGCCATTTCGGGGGTGGCAACAGATAGATACACCGTTTCCAAAAAAAAAAAAAATTTCTTATTTTCTTTTTTTATAGATATCCAATTAATTATAAGATGAAAATACAATGAAGATAATAAAAGGTGCACTAATTTAAAAACAATCAAAAGTTAGATTTTATGTTACAAATTTGATCTTCAAAACTAAAAATTTTTTGGTATGTTCTATTTATTTATTAATTATTTTTTAAAATATTGAATGTACAAGTATAAGTTTGATTTGACAAAATATTAATAACATAATTTTGATAGCAATTTTTTCAATTAAATTAGGTGGCAACCACCTTATTGGTTCTCTCTATCTCCTCTATAAAAGCACACATAGGCATGTGGCTAAGAAAGTAGAGTCTCTACCTACTGCACTTTCAAGACCAACAACATGCTATGTTCTGCCATCCTAAATACAAAAGTATATAAAAAAAGAAAAATATATAAATAATAAATAAATAAATAGAAACAAGAAGTTTATTAGTAAAATATATATAAAAGAGGGTTTTTTAAAAAAATATATATATTTATATTTGTTTGCTTTTTAACATGACATTTTAATAGTTATTGGAAGCTGGCAATAGGGGATTGTTTTTACATATAAGTTGGATGGGAACATTACATACATATAAGTGTTGGAAGTTTCTATACCCAAAACCAAAAGAGTTAGGCAAAATTCATCATAGAATGATTAATAACCAACTTTAGATAGTTCCTTAAGATTAATGATTAATCATGTTCTCTTCTGTAAGATTAAGGTTTCCTTTGGGACAACTTTCTTACTGGTTCTTAAAACATCTTTTTAGTATAAAAGTTTTATTTGTTGTTCTAAAAAGCTATTTTAAGCAGCAGTAAGAAATCTGTCTCAAAAAACTTAATATATCTTCATTCCTTAGAATATTTCTCTTATTCCAAAATTGTTATCCCTTAGGGTCATCTTTCCCTTATTCCTAGATTGTTTTTTGGGGCATCATGTAAAATGCGATTAACAAGAAAACAATACTTTTTTGAGGAAGTATTGACCCCAAGAAATGCAAATTAAAATAATGAGAAAATCTATAGGATTCAAATATCCGACTTAACATTCATATCATGAGTTCATAGAGTAGATTGGCCGAGAACCAATCTTCTATAGCAATTCATTGATATCACCCCCATGTTAATATTCCCCTAAATTTCAAATTCCACTTCCCATATTTTCTAATTCTAAAATAAAAAATTCTCACACCCAATGTACATGGAATTAAACATAGATGTTAAAAGAGGAATCAATCAAAGAGGACTAATTCAAAAAGTTTAGGGTTATAGGAACGCGACATCTAGCTTAGGCGTCATTTGGAACTGCTTTCAAAAGCAACTTTTTAGAACATAAATTCAATGAAAGCAACGAAAAAAACAATTGGTCAAAAGCTATTCCAAACGAAGCCTAACAAATAAAACCAGCTTATTCATCTTTCCACAAGAAATGAACTAATAATATGACACTAAAAAGATTAGTCAATCAGAACACTTAAAAGAAGAGTATAGCCTCCTTAACATAAACATTGAGTGCAATGGCTTCTTTTGTTAAATTGCTTCCATCATACGTTCGAAAGCTAAAGTTTTGTTTGGGACAATTTTCTTGTTTTTTAAAATAATTTTTTAGTAAAAATTTTTAATTCAAAAAAAATTTGAACAAAAATATTGTTTTAGAAAACAGTAAGAAAGTTATCTCAAACGAAACCTAAGACTATTTTTATGCAGAGAGCCAAGAGAAGCGATTCCCACAATTAAAAGAGACAAAAATTCAAACAAGAGTGGTAATCCAGACACAACAAGTTGAGTTATTTTCAGTTTCAATAGTTATTTGCTTTTCTTACGTCTCTTCTTACTTCTCTATGTTAGAAGACAATTTTTTTTTATAAAGAAGCAATCTCATTTTGTAATTTCTTTCACAAAAGAACAATAAATAGTCTCCCAAGTTTCAATCTCCTTGCTAGTTATATCTGTTCCTTAACTCTGAAGACAATTTCACAACAGATTACTTTTTCTCATGATAAAAGCCTGAGATAAGACCCCATCTCCTTATTTTCTCTCCTTTTTTTTTTTCTGTTTTGTCTTCATCTTCCTCATCAAAGGCTGTCATTTGGCACACCTTGCCCCACATCATGATAGAGACAAAGACTTGCTAACAAAAATTGAACTTAGAAGGAAAAAACTTGAGCTTCTAAGAAACAATATAGAACAAATCCAAGCTCCTATGATGCTGATGTGCAGTTAAGCTTCCTCTTCTTTGATGCTGGAGAATTATTGAGAGAATTTGCTTGCGAGTTACTAATGGTTTCATCACTGTTGTAGCTCATAGTTGCGGCATCCAGCACCCCAATTGGGCTCTGCGGTACGGAGGAGGAAGTAGGAGGAAGCCTCTCCACCATGAGATTTCTGCCTTGTAGTGCATTATAGCATTGCATCACTTTCTCCTGCAAACAGTACCATTTCCAAATTTGAACCGAAAGATCTTAAATCACAGAAAGATGTAATAAGAACTAACACTTCCAGTTGTTCAGCGCAACATTTATGACGAAATAACTTAGTAAATGATGTCCTTGTTAGGATCAACATGGGCTTAGAAGTCATATTGAAAAAATGAAACAATATTTGAGTTCATACTTAGGCTTCATTTGAGATGGCTTTCTTTCTGCTTCTTAAAGCAGCTTTCTAGTACAAGAATAAAAATATTTGTACTAGAAAGCTGCTTTAAGAAACAAAAAGAAAGCAGTCCCAAACGAAACCTTAGGCTACATTTGGAACGGCTTTTTTACTGCTTCTTACAACTGCGTTCTCTAAAAAGCTATTTTAATAAACAGGAAGAAAGCCGTCCCAAACGAAGCCTTAATAGCAGTGGACTTTACCATTAGCTTAAGCTTTCTAAGAATCACCTAGTGGATTAAGCTAAGAAGATTAAGCTCAACTTGAACCCCAGTGTTTCCTAAATGCTCCTAACGATTCTAAGCTACTTTCACTCCAAAAGAAGAAGTTAATTATTTCTTGTGAGACAAACTATTATCTAATAAAATGATTCATGTATAACTAATAAATTACCTTTTTGTTTTTAAAGATTTACCTTGTCCAAAAAGGAACAACAGTTCAGAGCCTTTACCATGGACACTAAACCAGCATCAACCAGTGCAGCCATGGCAACTGAAGCAGCCACCTCTGAAGGCCTAAACTCGAAAAAGCCAATGCCTGTATTTGATTGTTTACACAAATCAAAATCCATTTATTGATTCCTTGTCTTTCTGAAGCCATAGATTTCTTAAAACAAACCTTTAATAGTACCCAAAATGAGATCTGTGCAACGATCGATCTCTGGTTCTTTTGGAGGATTTCCTTCAGTAAACTTGTGTAAGAAGTAGTCCATGAAAGAGAAAGGTGTCACTGATTGCATCCTCCATTTGAGATTGCTAAGCACAAGAAGCTCCATTCTCTGTATAGTCTTTGCCTCAAATACATACTTGGCATTGCCAATCTATTGTAACATATCAAATGCACTAATTAGAAAAACAAAAATTAACACACAAAAAAGCAATATGACTTCACCTGTAAATCCATATATTGAGGGACTCCAATTTCCTCCATTTTTATGGCTAAGGAAAGGCAGGTCACAGCTAGCAATTGCATCATCCAAGCTTTCCCATGCTATTAAAAAAGAAAAGTAGCTGAACAAATTAACTATAGAATAGGAAAACCAAGAACAAATCATCTGGACAAATTTCTTCATAAAAATCATAGAAATAATTATGCAGAGTTCTTTGTTCTTACTGGGAGCTCGTGTGTGGATAGAAATCGATCCAGATAATTTACAGATAAATAGGCACATAGAGGTCCAAAGCTGTAATATGCACGAACCTGCACATTCCCATGCACATGGCCAAAGATCAATTCGAGTACTAAAAGATAGATAAAGAAATCAACAATCTCATTACTATCATTCTCAAAATAATAGATAGTTTGAAATAAAATAAATCTCTTTCTATAACAACCCCAAAGAACTAATAAAGATTTTAAAAAAATTGCAAGCTATCAACACCAAATGTAAAACACAAATGCCATCAAGGAAGAGAATGATTCAAATGAAAGCATAAATGTCATCATTATTTCCATTTATTATTCCACAAATGTGTTAAAGATGCTATCAAAAAAAAAAGTAAAAGATATTAGTTTTATGCTATCATAGAAAGGAATAAAGGAAAAAAACTGCATCCAAATTGATTCTCTCCTGCTCCATTAAAAAATTGCTAGAAAAACACTATAAATTAAGCAAGAGAAAGCTTCAAAATCCACATACAGAGAAGTAAATCAACCAACAAAGACGAACTGCAAGGATAAAAGATAGAAGAGACCACCTTCTGAATCCAATCGACAGCATCTTTTCTTGCAGAAATGTCCGATACCCCACTCATCAACCTCTTCGCATAATCTGCAGCTGGGAGAAGCTCTTGTTCCTTCTCCAGCAAAGCATTCAAGCATTCCTCAGTCTGCAACGGAAAAAAATCAATCTTTTGCACGGAAATCTCGCCAGGGAAGCTCCCCTGAGCTCCTCCATTGGTGCATACCTCCACATCTTCATCAAGACCAAGTATGCTTCTGTTGTCCTCAGCGCATAAGAGAGTGGAAGAAGCGTGGTCACAAACAACTCCCATTACAGACGGATTTGTTCTGTGTAAAGTGTGCTATGAAAGGAACAAGCTTTTTTCTCTCCTCCTTGAATGAGTCGATTTTCATTGAGGATTGGGAAGGAAAAAGAAGAGCTTTTCCATTCTGCGTGGATTACTCACACTGAAGAAGGTAGAGGCAGAGATAAGAATGTAATAACATAGATAGGTAAGGGACTATTCTATAGAGGAAGAGGGAGGGAAGAGGGGCGATTAGTGGTTTTTATTTTATGGTAAAGCTTTTTTTTTTTTAAATTAATTTTTAAAAATTTTATTTTTAGATTCATATCATTTAGATGGCTTAATTACATAATTTTAAGCAAAATCTATTTTATTTTTCATATTTTATATTAATTTCTTTGAAGACTGAAAAATATTCCTCCACTTATTTAAAAATTTTCAGCCATACGTACAGAGATGGAGGAAAGGGTGTGCTGTAAAATGGTGACAGATTTTAGGACAAGCCAAAAAATATATTTATTTAAATAATGACGATAAATTATATAAATATAAATATATAATTCAGTGAATAAAAAGTGATAAAAGTACGTTTGAAATAGGAAGATTAGCATCCAAATAGTCAATAATGTGCTGAGACTTACAAATAATCTAATGATAAGTCTTTTTTAATTTAAATAATATTTATTAAATTCAGAGATTCTAAAAATTAACCATTATTTTAGAAGAGAGCGAAATCTGAAGTATTTTATTCAGCAATAACAAAAATTTATCCCACTACTTAGGATCCGCTACATGAATGAACATTTTTATTATGTTTTATTAAGAGTCAAATTCATAATTAAATTTAATAAAAAATATTATTTCTAATGCATCTAATCAAATCTTTTTTATTCTATCTTTACCTTTCTTAAAAAATGTCAGATCTAATACATCTACACTCCTAATCGTGTTATCAAAAGCATTTTTTTCATGAATTTTAAATTTATCATTTAATTCATTTCGATGAAAGTTATAATCATTAAAATTTAAACTATTTTTAAATACCCTTGCTTTTCCCACTCGCTACTGCCACTATGGCAGTCAAAATCGAGTCACGGGTTAGGTTTGGGTCAAACCCGAAACTGACATGGCACTATTCGACCCGATCCAAACCCAACCCGCTTCAGATTTGGGTCAACCCGACCCGTAAGTCTGCCGTCGACCTTCCGTTCGCACTATTATTTGCTTGTGGCGTAGCAGCAGGCGACGTGCATATGGGCCAACGAAGAGACACGTGACTGCGGGCAGGCGACCAATTTTAGGTCACTCCCAAGTTTCCGAGCCAACCCGAACCCAATCTAATTTTTGAATCAGGTCGGTTTGTTGAATCTGAATACGACCCGTTTCAAAAACGGATTTACCCTAACCTGCAATCTTTGAGTCGGATTCGAGTTAGCTTTTTCGATTATGTCAAATATTGATACCCCTAACTACTATCATCACCCGCCACTGTCTGCCATCAACATTATCATCTCCCACCACCTTCACTAACCATCACTCTTATCATCCGCCACAGTATTTCAAATAGTAGTTCTACTTTTCAAATAATTAAATGCAAAAAAATTTAAATACTTACAAAAAAAAAATTTTAAAATTTGTTGTGCAGGTCACATACGGTCATCTCTATTTGGCTTATAGTGAGCGTATGGTATCGAATTGGCTCCACTCTAAAATATTAAAACTACTTCGAAATTGTCTTACTCGTACAAAAATATGTCCACCATTATCATAAAAATATTGTATCAACCAAAATCTTAGTTTTCGGACCTTTGACCAATATAATTGAAGTGGACAGAGTTTCGCTAATAATTAATATAGAAAAATACAAAGTATCTGTCGAGTTGATAGGACCAGCTCATAACTTATTATTATTATTATTATTATTATTATATATAGTGATCTCTCATATTGTTCTTTAACTTGCAAGACAAATTTAACTTGTGAAGGAAAAAAAATAAATTAATACACGGTTAAAGTTTTATCATTTTTAAAATTGATTATATTGGTCCTAAGCCCGAATGTAAAAAGTTGAGGAAACATTTAAAAGAATTAATTTAGAGACTCAAGAGAGCTTTGAGGCTTGAAGCATCCCAGAGCTCCACTACGGCACCATTGCTGACGAATCCTTACCGCTAAGCCGCCGATGCTGAGCCTTTGACCGACCATCACTATCGGACCTTCGTACGGTATAGTAGATATCGTTGGGCCTTCATCTAACCTCCGCCTGGGCCATCATTGGGCCTCCGTCTGACCTCCGTCCGACAACCATTATTGGGCACTCGTCCAACCTCTGTCACCCGCCGACTACGATCCCTCCAACCATCATCGCTCACCGACTACAGTCCCTCCGACCACCATCGTCAGTCAACCACAGTTCGTCTGACCTCCATCCGACACCCATTATAACAATTCAAATTTCTATAATAATTGAAAATAAAAAAGATTTTTTTTTTTTTTTTTTTTTACTTAAGAACACCGTGATAGCCATGAATTCTTATTTATTTAAGTGTGATCTCTGAAATGCATGATATAAATTCATTGTTATTGTATGACTTTAATGATAATGTATTTACTATCACTATATATATTCACTATTCATGTATTGCTTCATTATCATTGCCACCCTTTTACTAACAACATTGTATTAATATTATTGCCGATATTGACATCGATGATGTTTGATACTACTATTGATTCACTGTTATTGTTATTGATATTGATTCACTTACTAATAATGAATATGTGTTATACTAAGCACTTGATATATTGAGCATGTGATTAAGATAATAATATAGAATAATTGTATAATATGTGCATATCATTATATGATTATATTATATTGATATGATTTTGATAATCTTTACTAATGATTCGATTTTATCATTTTATACAATTTCTTTACTGATTGATAGTACTTATACGATCACTGTTTTATTGATTCAACACTCATACTGGTTTATTGACTCCCCCACTTTGATATTTTACTTTCCTATGTTCCATATTATTTTACTATTTACAGATTTTACTACTACTACATGTGAGTTTTACTATTTCTCCATTGATTTTTGATCATATGATTGTTAATATTATGAATTGATTGATGACGCGCATATTTTTTCTTTATCTTAGTTTGAATTCAGTTATAAGATTTCAGTTATCTGCTAGGCTTTTTAGCTCATTATATGTGATTTAAATAATTTCAAGTAAGGAAGATATTCAGAAGTGTGAGACTAATCTAGATTTCTCAGGTTTTGCTTCTTTTTATTTTAGTTATTCTTTTATACATGAATAGAAGGATATATTGTGATTATATAATTCATGAGTATTGTATATAATTAATTTTTTGGTCAATGAATATGGATGTATATTAAAGTTTTGAATTATATAATTTGTTTTAGTTGTTTATTACTAATTAATGAAATTAGATAGCTCTGGTTATTGTAATAAAAGATAAAAGAAAGAATTTTCCCAAATTAAATTCTAGGGCATTACAACCTTTGTTGGGCCTTCATCTAACCTCTATTGCATGTCGATTATGGTCTCACTAACCACTGTTGCTCGCCAATTATGGTTTGTTTGATTTATGTCCAGTAGCCATCATTGGGCCTTCATCCGACCTTTGTCACTTGTCGACCACGGTCCCTCCGACCAACGTTGCCTACCAACTACGGTTTGTCTAACCTTCGTCCGATAGTTATGGCTGGGCTTTTGTCCGACCTACGTCGCTCACTTATTATAGACCCTCTGACCTTCGTCGCCCGCCAACTACAGTCCTTTCGACCTTTGTTGCCCAACGACTATGATCCCTCCAACCTCTATCACCAGACTAAGGTCCCTCCAACCATCGTAGCCCACCTAGCTATTTTGGTCCCTCTGACCACTTTGGCCCACCAACTATGATCCTTATGACCATTATTGCTCATTGACTACTGTCCCTGAAATCTCATTCACTTGCCGATTACAATCCCTCCAACCACCATTGCCCGCCAACTACAGTCCCTCCAACCATTGTTGCCCACCGTCTACTATCCCTAAGACCTTCATCGCTCACCGACTACAGTCCCTCTGACCACCATTGCCCGCTGACTATGGTTCCTCTAATCATCGACTACGATTTCACCAACCACCAACTACGGTCCCTCCCATTATCGACAACGATCCCTCTGATCATTATCACCCGTCGACTTCGATCCCTCCGACCACCATCATCAGTTGATTATGGTCTCTCTGACCTCTATCACTTGACAACGGTCTCTTTTACCTCAGTCACCTTACTACAGTCCCTTCGACCTCTATTACCACGATTGCTCTAGCTCTCAACAAACTTAAAGGCATGCATATAACAAATTTAATTTTCTTGAAGTCAAATTCTCACAAATATGATTTCATTTTGCAACGGAGATGAATAGTTCATTATTTCCAACAAATTGATTATGAATATCAAACAAACTTAAAGGTACATAACGAATCCAATTTTCTCTAAATGCCATGTCGAGTCAAACCAAAGGTCCTGGGGCTTAATGGAGTGTAATCATCTTATTGGATGCAAGCAGCACAATTTCTCAAATACAAATAATATTTTTTTATAGTTTTCAAAATACAATAATTTACGCAGTTTCTATTATTTTTATCATTTTATGACAAATAATAAAAAAGAAGCCATGTGAAAATGAGAGGCTGAAATAAAAAAAAATATATATAAGCTGAAAGTTCTGAAAACTGAAAGATCTAAGCTCAAATCAGATAGGAAGCCGACCATAAATTATCCTGTTAATTATTATTGCTTCTCGTGCAGCGATCACAGAGATAAAGAAAATGAAGTCCACAGCTGTTAGGTAGCAGATTTGCAGATAAATAAGAGATTGCTACGTACTGCAGGTTACTGTTTATTATTATTATTATTATTTTTCAAATAGAAAACGTGAGACTTATATGCATAAATAAATAATATATTTATTTATATTATCCTTTTTGCTAAATATATAAACGTCTGAACGCAGTAAAAATGTTGAAAAAATAGTGCAGAAAATAAACAAACCAGAATTTACTTGGTTTTTTTTACTATCTTCGTACAATGCTAAGACGTTAAACTAAATATTTCTCTACCGCCGCGAATATTCCAGGACGCAACACTTATTATCTTTCTAATTTTAAAATAATAAATAAAGTATAATTTTAGACAAAATTTAAATTTTGAAAATAATATT